GCATTGGAATCGACCAATTTTCCACCGGCAGCCTTCTGTTTCTCTGCATATTCGCGAATTTTTCGTAAAAATACCGCCTGTATGAGGTCTTGTTCTTTGAGTACGGCTCGTGTAGAGCTGATGCTACGTACGGATTGCGTTATGGCACCACGAAACATTTTTCTTTTGTTGTTCACCTGCAAAGAGAAATTATTATTATCATTTCACGAGAATAACGTCGCATTTTGCTGCTGCCGTTCAACGCAATCAACGACCAAATTCTAGCGCTTGGTAAGGCCAAAACCAGGCTTACGGAACCGGAACAACCAACATCTAAAGTATCAACGAACTACAAACATTATTAATAAATCCGTCGTCGTCTCTTGCTAACACGCTATCAACTCTGTTACGAACATCACGCGAAGTTTACCACCCACACGGCCTTCTTTCTGTTGTAATGTCAATAGCGAGCGTATAAGTTTGAATATATCATAAATTNTTTTCTCTTGTCTTTCAAATCCTCAATTGTCAATTGAAAAATTCTTCGAAGATCCTAATTTGAAATTTACACAACCGAGTTATTCCGATGGAATGATTCAGTTAATAACAGGTAGTTGAATGCATCGATACATTTCTCTTTATTATGCTGTATTGTGCAAGGCAAGTTTCGTAAAGACTACACTTCCCATGTGTTCGTGCTTAACGAATAATCATACGTTATCCACGTGAAAATCATAAAATTCAGCACTATCAAACATCGAAATAATCATTAAATTTCCACAAGTAAACTTGGATTTTATCAGATTAACTCATTTATAAGATTATATCGTTGGTCTGTTCATATGTTCAATTAATTTATACGCTGTTTTGAAGAGCTCTCAGACAGGACAGGTCTGTTCTAGGCTAATATTGTTTCGATAGAACACTTTACCTGGCTTAAACTCTTTGAGATATTCCATTTGTTCACAGTGTTGTTTCGTTATCGAGCTTTTACTCGCACTGTATGGAAACTGTTGATAGTGTTAATACACTGATTTAGCAATTTGATGTAATGCGTGATTAATGTTATTATAAATATTTCAGGCAGGCTTTATTNTGTGAATTTTCAAGGTTTGTGCTAATGAAAAGAACATGATCCGCGATAATGGTCCGATATTCCAAGCCTTCGTTGCGTCCATGTTCACGTGGGGTGTTACAGCCCTGGGCGCTGCGGTTGTCTTCTTTCTACCACCACACAGCAAGAAACTGCTAGGTAGTTAACTTGCTCTTAAGCAATTCCAAGAAAAAAAACTCCCAAAAGAAATTCATTCGGCAAATATGAAAAGTGCTAAAGATTCATTTGAAAAACCGGATTTTTAGATGTAAGTTTGGGTTTTGCGGCCGGCGTAATGACCGCAGCATCATTCTGGAGTTTATTGGCACCCGCTATTGAGATCTCTGAGGCTACTATGGGTGCTTTGGCTTTTATTCCGGTTGCAGTGGGATTTGCAGCCGGATCAGCGTTTGTTTGTTTGGCTGATCGTATTATGCCTGAGTTGGTTTTTTTT